AAACTTTTGCAAGCCAATGAAGTAAACCTCTAGGACAGCATCATGGCTTCATAAGCTTTTTTTTTCTTCCATAAAGATTTATATTCGGACTTAAATAAATACAAATAAAAATTTATTTGCAATACTAATTTTGGTTAGTTAGAGTTTTTTATATTTTCATATCAGAATAATAATATGCATAACAAAGCCACTGCTCAAAAGTCTTCATGGATTGACTTTGACCAACCTTACGCTACCTAAAATTCCCATTTTGAAGGTATGCTTACTTATTTCTACCTGGAATTATATCTTCAAACAGCCAACTCCCCTAAAATAGACTATAAAACACAACTTCTGGAAATATTGTAAAAACCTTTTTGGAAGTAGTACGAGAGAAAGAAGACAGATAAAAGCAAAAGGACAGTCTGGAGTTTCATAACTGAAAGTAGAGTGTGGTATGAGGAAGATTTTGTTGTAGCTAGGCTAGATTTCTTTTTTTTAGTTTCGCAAATGCCACATCCTGGCTAAACCACAAGTATTCCTGTAGTCATGTTCCTACCTCTCATGATGCATGCTTGCACAGTAGAGAAGCTGTAGAAACTATAAGGATTACAACAGTATCACTTCTCTCATGGTGTCTACTTACCCATTAAACTACATGATATTTGGTTTTCACAGTAATAAAAGGTTGATCTAACCTGTTTCAGTGCACTGCAAATTTTCATCAGTCACATTTTGAATCTCAATATATTGCTGTTACCCATTAACCTCTGTCCCATTCCCTCTTCAAAAATGGTTTAGATATCCCTTAGACATCTGTGAAACTCATAACTACTTCATTCCAATCTGTTTCCACTATCACTGAAAGATAGTCACTATCTGACTATAGTCACTATTTTGACTATCTCCACTTCCAAACTACCACTGTCATCTCATTTCTGCCACGTTGTAAATGCAGATAAACAAAGATGTGAAAAGCCTGCATGACAGAAGAATTTTTCAAAACTACATTATTTCTGTTTCTCTGAAAATACATTACACTTAGATATGCAGATAAAGAAACTAGATCTACTTCAGATCAGAAGTTGAGAGACTTCACTCTGTCAGGTTCAAAACAGAGACAATGAAACTGAAATCAGTAATGCTGAATCTTAATATCAATGCTATTTCTGATCTTGTTTCCCTTAGAAAAGTTAAAATTGTATCAGGGCAAAAGAGAAACTACCTACCCACAAACATGACACCTCCGCATATTCTTATCTGTGGGTACTGTGAAATGATTCACATTTCTAGTGCTGATGATCTTTGGAGACTGCCTGGAAAAGCAGTGCTTGTTGGGACTACATGAGTATCCCCTGCTGACACTGGATGAACACAAATGTGACCCTAAATGGTTTCTCCTTTTTTTTTTCCATTTATGCCTAACCTCATATGACAAGAAGATCTCCATGAGAGAGAGGGAAGTAGTACTAGTGAGCTTTCTGGTGTAGAAACCACCTCCAAACTTTTTATCTGTATCATCTTTGTGCTTGCAGGCATGAGGAAATAGAACATATCTTTTCACAGATATAATATCCTGGTAAGACCTCTATGTCCAAAAGCAGCTTTACACAGGTACATGCCAGTATGAAGATGATATCAAGCACCTAACAAACTAGCAGCAAAACAAATATGCCAGCAGCTGACATATACCCCTTGCCAGTGAGACCAAGGACAGGCATTGTGGTCACTGCCCTACAGTGTTTCCACAGCAGCAGGATAACCTCAGAAAGTAATTGGAGACATACATAAATGGTTATGGGCAAAGGCTTGTGTTTCACACAGTAAAATGTTTTTCAAACTGGACAGTGGTGTATCTGTCCCTCCATGTGAATGGAAGGATGTCTTAAGGACAGAAAAAACAAAGTCCCTTATAGTGTCTCAAAGACAACCTCTCTGCCAGGGATCTGGTAAAATTTCAATACGCTCAGCGGTGCTGGAGAACAGGATATTCAGGAAGGAATATAAATCCAGGAAGCAAAAATAAAATATACTGATTTGAATCTCTCTTTTATTCTCTCTTTCTCATCTTTTGGAGTTTTCTTGTTTATGAAACAGAGAGACAGAGAGTTAAAGGCTGTTTCAGTCCAGAAGTCTAGCTACCCAACAGCACAGAACTTAACTAGAGGTTCACTGTATATCTACTTAAGTGATCTGAACAACAAGATTGTTCATTACTGATAAATGTGAAATGAAAAAGGCTGCTAAAACTGAACAAAACCATTGTTCAGAGAGAAAAGCTGATTCAAGAGCTAAAAAGCAATTGAGATAGTTGAGAACTATAGCGATCACCTGTGAAAGGCCCTGTCAACAGGACTTGGGCTCAGCTGTCTATGCAGCACTGCATTTCTCAGAAGCTTCTATAGCTCACTCCACAGCACAAAAAGACTTCATTTCACAAGTAGGGATATGTGGAGATCGCTTCAGAGAGGAACAATGGGCTGCTCTCCCCACAACTGCATAAATAATTAATTTAAAAAGCACAAACATTAGTTGAGGTATAATCCTTCCTTTTACAAAAAATCATAATAAAGTGTCATGGCGAAACAGGTAACAGTCACAGAAGAAAATATTTAGCACAGAGGGCAAGATTCTTGCTGGCAGAACTGCTATTTTGCTGTTTGAAAGTTTGGTTATGCAAAGCCACAGGCAAGATTTTTTTGTTAAATTCAACAGTGAATGCTGCAAGGAGCTAGAAACAAGAAAATACTAAAGCCTTCATGAGAATCAAAAAGTACGAAAGAAACAACAAAGAAAAAGACAAGTAAACATTGTGCCAGAGGAACAACCTAATGATGAGAACACAAATCAGAGGGTAGGCAGAAACAGATTAAAAGGAGACCAACTATAACGAAAATGGGAAAATAAAAGGCAGCTAAATTAAATACCAATCACATGCTACCTTGCATAAGGAGATGAAAGAAAAAACTTAGCAGGAAAAAAAAAAAGAAAGAAAGAAAGAAAAATAAAAGCCTAATACAATGCAGAAATAAGACCAAAGGGCTAGTTGGTTACTGAAGAACTGAGAGCAATCATGAGGAACAGACAGGGAAAAGGAGGGCAAACATTGAAAAACCAGCAAAAGAAGCAATGGCACAACTTTTTCTCTACTTCTCTTTTACATACTGTGCTGTATATTTCACCAGCTCTCCAAATAGATGCAGCACCTCAGCCACAGGATCCATTAACCAACACTGTTTAAATACATGTGAGTTTAAACATGTTTTCACATTGCAAAGGTTAAGGAAAAGACTACACTGGCATCTAGGTTTATAAAGCATCCGGATAACATGAAGTAAAGTTGCGACAAATTATTTTACTGTTTTGACAGCCATAACTTTCTTCTCCACACACATTCCTTGATTCTGATAACCCAAAACACAACACTTACCAACACCATTTAGTATACGGACATAGTCCCACAGAGCTACGTGTGGGCTTTTCAGAAAAGAGCCTATTGGACCTATTCTGAGTCACACAGTATGTACTAAATGCACATACAGCAGTCTGTCATGCTAAAACAAAAACTGAGTAAACTAGTGTTGACTCAACCATAGTATGTAGATGTTTTGGTTTCTGCTTAAAACCATTGCACTCAAAATCCTGCTGGGATGATCACAGCATATGTACAATATCATATCAAGTACCTCACTTGCCACATACATTTTCAAACAATAGATAAGGCACTCACCAGAAGAAAAAATTATTATATGGTTGCTTATACCATATCCTGTTGACTGTTGTTTTTTACTACATTTACAAACCCAGCAAATATACACACCAGACAGAAAAGTAATGATTCTTCTAAAAGACCAGTATCTTATTACAGTAATGGAAAGGCAGATGCAGAGATTTTTTTATATATTTGAACATACTTCAAGGTAAAATGGTCCTGTGTTACTCACCTTGATCTCTTTCATGCCATGTCCGACTCTCTGCAGCTGGTGAATTTGGAGAAGGATAAAAGTCTCCTGTTGGGCTTGGCTCCATATTTTCATCTATGGAGATAGTTTTGGGTCTTTTGCTGTTGAAGTAATGTGAGATTTGGCAGTGAATATGATATGCAGCTAGTAGTGGTATATAAACTGTTTAGATGTCAACAAATGTTTCAAAAGAAAGTAATTCAGGCATATAAAGCACGAAAAAGTGGATATTAGATATTACATTAACTTACAAAGACGCTGCTATTTAGTCATATGTAATGCAGGTATGTGCTTGCATTTTTCACATGATTTAATATTTCAGAGAAGGCAGGAATGGGTAATATATAAAATTCTACCAACATTTGGCCGAACAACCTAGAAACCAGTTCCTGCAACCTACCAAAGAAAGGTTGTGTCATGAGAGTGTTAAACACTATGCAGAAACTATGAAAGGAAAACAAAGCACTGGAAAAGTATTACTAATAAAGTCAACATAAACCAGGAATTTTCTGAACATGTTAATAAGGGAAAAAATGTAATTTACTGTATTTCACCAGGTCAAAATCCTAAGCTTTTCAAAGAGGTCTAACCTGAAACAAGACTACTTTTCATTTCAGACTAATTTAATTAAAAACAACAAAAGGCCCATATTTCAAGTCACAATATAAAGTAAGCCAGCATTTCAATACAATGAAGCCAAGTTTCTTCATAGCAATATATACTGAAGCTGTTATGCTGACTGCCAAAGAAAAACCAGGATTAAGGTTTTAATGATGGAGGTGGTGGTGGTAGTGGTGGTGGTGGTGGTGTTGCTGCTGCAACAATGAAAATTAATCTATCCATTTCTAAAATGTACTAGGTGAACTGCCAAGCTGAAAATATAACGTCATGAAATAGGGGAATACAAGCAAAATAACTCAGAAGCACCAGGTGCTGGTGGAAGGGCAACCCACTCCCCTGACAGTGCTGCTAAATCCTGTCTCACCATGCAGATGCTTCCTGACTAACTGAGGTGCAGAAACATGGGGCAACAAGAGGTCCTATAGTGCTTATGACTTCATGGTATGTTGGACAGTTTCAGAAAACAAAGGAGTCCCAGCAGTGGGACAGACAGTGCATTATCTAGGAATCAGAAAGAGGGCACAGCAGCTTCTTCACCTCTGTGGGCCCTCCAGCTGCTCCTGAGGGGGAATGGGGTTTTCTCAGAGTTGGGAGAAGGGAACATGTTGAAGCAAGGAAGAAGTGGGTCCCTCAGATCAAGCTGCCTGTAGCAAGCACATGGAGACTACTGTGAAAAGTTACAAGACCCCGTGACTACTTCATATGCCTTGCTCTGGCTGAGCTGGGAAATGCCCCTTGTAAGGGTGAGGCAAGAAACACATTTTCATGAGCTGGGGTGACACTGTGGATAAAGATATTTTGTCTTTATATACTTGTCCTAATATACCTTTATATATCCACCCATTCCACAGGAAACACTATCTGTCCCAGCATATCTTTCAACACAAAGGCCCAAAAGCAAGTCCTCAAAGACAGCCTTTGTGTCTGCAACCACGCTGTGGCATCCAGCCCTGCCAGCAGGTTCCCAGCTGCTGGACCTTCCTGCAACTCAGTAGCAGTTTCAGGATGCATAGTTGTTCTCTTGGCAGGTGATTTAGTGAGCACTTCAAACCCTGACAAAAGTTATTATCATCTTCAATATCAACAGTAATGACACCATCACTTCGGATTACCAGATTAGCAACATATATATCCGTGCATAGATTATGGTAACATACGTAAGTAGTCTACCTCACAAAATCAGAGGAAATTCGTAAAACAGTCAGCTGTTGACAGTATCTGTGAACTGTTTGTCCTGCACTACTAAACCTTGTTTCACATTAGCACAATTTTTTACCTGCTTGGTGGAGATGACAAGGACCTCTGTAGATTTACACCGGAATTCATATCATGGTAATATGGCTGGCTTGGAAGCTCTCCAATTGGGAAGTTCACTCCAGTTCCCTGGGTTATTGGTGCTGAAAAACACATCATCATAACAAGTCTAGGATAGTATTTCTTTTTAGGCATCTTTTCATTTTTAACACTGGGACAAACATCAAGATGTTACTACACAGATAAAATTTTCTGTCTCTTGCAGGAACCAAGTATAGACAAGTTCTATCAATGCTTAGATATCTGAAAAAAGTGAATTATCTTCCTCAGACCCTAGAAATTCCTTAGCAATTAAGTAGAGATAATACATTTGTTGCATAACAGGTGACCTGGGATCATCAATATGAAAATGGTAACCAACCTCGGCAAAAAGCCAAGCCTTCTGTAGAAGGAGATTTATAAGTAAAAAGTCGGGGTTTATAAGGACAGATAACATTATTTATTAAAGAGATTAAATAGCTGGAAAGAACAAACTTGGGAACACAAATTCTTTTTCCCTTAATATTATTTCTTTTGTATTAATAATTGCCTTCTGTGCTGACAGCGTTTTGTTGCCTCCTTTTTCTTTCAACCAGTGCCACAGTAACTGCTTTGCATATGTACACCTACACACAAACACACATAGCGTTATCTTCAACTCTTTTCAGAGTCTATATGCCATACATCTCAGTATTTCAAGAATAAATTATATGTTACATATTGTGGTGTGTTTACCTTTGTTCACAGTCTGTGCATTGTACATTTTAACTACCTTTGGCACTTAAAAGAATAATTGCATGTTGTGTAATGCATCTGAAGTTTTGTCTTTTTCCTGACAGTTAAAGTACAACTCTGTTGCGGCTTGAGGTTAAACAAATGCATGGTAAGAAAACCCACAGAAACCACATGCTTTAAAGCTTATTATTAGAAGTATATAGTGTATAACAGCTGCAGAAGGTATGATTTCATAACATAACTACAATATTGATTCTTTTTTAATCTGAATCATCTGATACATTAAAATGTATTTAATCACCTGAAAACTAAAAGAAAGTTGTATTTTGCATATTCTCAGCCTCCTAAACCAGCAAAACCATATCTTTAGCAAGCATGAAGAAAAATATGTCTTAAGACTACAGCATGGCAATGCTCAGTATTTTGCTGAAGGACTTAACGTAATTTTAATTGTTGAGTATTAGTTTCTTACCACAGCAAATAAAACGACACATGCATCTTAAGCCTAACTTAATTAAATTCCTCAAGCATCGTGATCTGGCATGTATTAACTCCTGTGCAAAATATGGACATACAGTTTTGGAAATTTGTACCTCACTGGTTTTCTTCTCACCTCATCAGAACAGAGGTTTTCTTGGACAATGCAGTTGTTATAATGTTGGTGTCACCAGTATGGACACTTCTTACTATACCATTCATGTATTTTTGTTCACTTCCTAATGAAGTCTTAAGAGAAATACTTTAACAGTGTTGATACTAAAGTGAGAAAAGAAGCATTCAGAAAGCAATGTCAAATGAAAATATGTCTTTATTCCATACTGTTATAGCAAATTCTTATATGTCAACAAAACATATCTGATTTATATTAATTTTGTTTTTTCTTTCTGCAATAAAACCTTCACCTGTTCTTTTATATTTGTATTTTATATTACTTTCTTTTTGTGTGTGTTCATATGCATAACATTTCTGATGCCAAAACAAGCCAAAATAATTAGAAATTCAATTATGGCCAATGACACATGTGAAAGAAACACGAGCATATAATACAGTAAGTTAGTTATTCCTTATATATATGCTGTGATTTTAAAGAGTTACAAATTCAAAAACAAACTACAAGAATAATCAGATGGTTTAGCAAAATCCAAGGATGTGTAGGACAACCTTAAAAAGCTGCAAGTCTAACAAATAAAAGGTTTTGTTATATATGGTAATTTTATTGACATATTAGTCCATTAAGTTGTGCAGAGGGACACGTAACAAATTTATTCTATATTTCAATATCAAAAAGGCAAAATAAGACTTTTGTTTGGTTTATCACAATTATATGCAAACTGAACTGTAATACTGTGGTCAAAGTTATCAAAATTGTGTGCTCGTAGGCACTCCCTATGCATCCTGCATCTTGGCGAGACAAAAAACTTCAAGAAAAAGCTTTCCCTTGATTTTAGCAGGCATTGGAAGTGATTAAATGCAAGTGATAACTTACTTCTGGACACCCTCACAAGCTCTGACACGTTGAAAACTCCAGATTTTACAAAACTGTCCTCAAGGTACACTGAAAAAGATCAGAATATCATAATCAGCATAATGAGAAGATTAATAAAGAGCTATAGACAAGTTCATAGGTCTGCTAACAAAAGTATCAACAGAGTCCCAGAACTGTCATACACAGACCAAAGTACACTGAAAGCTGATCATAGGATCTAATGAGAGCTGAAATTCAGGCAGAGGTGTAAAAAGACTTCAGGCGTTCTGAGAAAACAATTTTTTTAACTGTGTATGAAAATGAACAAGCAATAGTCTGAGTTCCTAGCTAGCCACCCAGAAAATGTCTGAAAACTAGCTCCTTTTATTAGTAACTTCTATTTTTAAGTCAGTATTGAACTAAGAACTGTGTCAGCTGGACTAAGCAATTTCACCAGAGCAGTCCTGTCCTCCCATTCATTTCTGCTAAATAGATTTTTACCTAACTTATACCCTGCTGATAGTGACTTTTCATTACCACCTCAATGATCAAATCACCACTTCTGAGGCAGATGAGGGTTTTACTATTATTTCCAGTAAAAGCAGGAACTGGGCAAAACAGCTGAGCTATTCAGTGAGTTTTTTATATACATGTTGAATTATATATCTAGAAACCTACGTTTACGAAATAATATATAATTATTTTAGCTTATGTTTTCTTTATCTAAGATAAATGTAAATTATATATTTTCCCTGCTGTGAAATTCAGGTACAACTTGGAGTACTGCAGTGAAACAACAGCTGATAATCAAGACTTATCTCAGCAGTGTAACTAGATAACCTTATTAAAAGGGCTCTAAGAAACCCAGGTTTCTGTGGAACTCTCATATCAATAATCACTGCATAAGCTGACTTGACTGAACTTGAGATTACATGGATGATAGCTTTTACAGGAAGAAATGCCAGCCATTTACCAGCAGAAATATTTAGAGCTCTACTTGCACATTGCTGTGTGTGGTTAGTAGATCAAGAGAGGTTCTCCTCCCCCTCTACTCTGTCCTGGTGAGACCACATCTGGATTATTGTGTCCAGTTCTGGGCCCCTCAGTTCAAGAAGGACAGGGAACTGCTGGAGAGAGTCCAGCACAGAGCCACAAAGATGATTGAGGGAGTGGAGCATCTCCCTCATGAGAAGCGGCTGAGAGAGCTGGGTCTCTTTAGCTTGGAGAAGAGGAGACTGAACGGTGACCTCATTCATATTTATAAATTTATAACGGGCAAGTGCCAGGAGGAAGGAGCCAGGCTCTTCTCAGTGACAGTCAATGACAGGACAAGGGGCAATGGGTGCAAGCTGAGCACAGGAGGTTCCATATGAACATGAGGAAAAACTTTGTTACTGTAAGAGTTACAGAGCACTGGAACAGGCTGCCCAGAGAGGTTGTGGAGTCTCCTTCTCTGGAGACATTCAAAACCTGCCTGGAGGTGTTCCTTTGTGACTTGGTCTAGGTGTTCCTGCTCCGGCAGGGGGATTGGACTAGATGATCTTTTGAGGTTCCTTCTAACTCCTAATATTCGGTGTGATTCTGCTGCTCCAACAGTATTACTCTTTTATTTTCATTTGTGTAAGATAGAGCACTAAGAATTTCCTACTGTGGTTTCTCTAGTCTCTTTTCTGAGTTAACATAGATTTTTTTTTTCTTTTGGAAATACACTGTCAATTTTCTGTTCCAAAAGTCTGAATGCAAACAAAAAATGCACCTACTGGAATATTTACTGATTTGGAAAACAATGGTTCAGTAATATTCCTTTTAGGTTTCTTTTGACAATTACTACTTTCATCTTCAAGTAATTTAAGAAAACACTGACTCTATAATCAGAAAAGTGACTGTAAAAGCAGTACACTTCACCTGAGAGATCTGTCCTTAGTACATCTGTAGAAATCTCTGTGTACTTTTTGGGGTCAAACAAGGAGGTCAGAGGCAAAAAGAGCGGTCTTTGATGCTTACTCACAGTC